GACATTTCTTACTAGCCTTAATTCTATACTATTAACACACTACAATATTTTAAATTAAAAATACTCTTGAGGAAGGTATTGCATTACACACTGCCTAAGTAAACAAATAAATATTATATATTGCCTGGCCACTTAATTTCTACTGTTGTTTTTTAAATTTTCCAATTTTTTAAAAAATTGTTTTTGCTATCCCTCTACCTTAATCACATATGGCTACTTAATTTCTGATGTGTTGTAAATGAGGCTGGTAACTGGCTTGAGCAGGTAACACAAGCTTGTCCAAGCTGTGGCCAATGGGCTGCATGTGGCCCAGGACAGCTTTGAATGCGGCCCCACACAAATTCGTAAACTTTTTTAAAACAGTACAAGACTTTTTTTTTTTTTTTTTTTTTTTTTTTTTTTTAGTTCATCAGCTGTCATTAGTGTTAGTGTATGTTATGTGTGGCCCAAGATGATTCGTCTTCCAATGTGGCCCAAGGAAGCCAAAAGATTAGACACTGCTGAATGTCTAATCCCAATCTGAAGAGGAATGAGAGACTCATTCCTCTCCAGACCTCAGGTTTCTGAAGAAACAGGGCTCAGGCTGTTTCTTCAGCCCAGTTCTCCTTCTCCGCTTATGCTAAATAGAATACCTTGCACCTTCAGGGCTCATTTTTAGTTCGCCTCAATAAACCTTTCCATGACAATCTTATTGTTGGTACATAGGATTCATTTACTGAACCACACAAAGGTAATTGCTCATTTATATTCAATTTTAAGTATCAGGTCATAATTTTTTATCATTCTTAACTGAATTCAAATTCAGCTTCAAAACTGGCAAGTTTCATCGATAATACTAAACGTGAGAAATGGAACAATGTGTAAGTCTTTAGTAACCATCAAAATGCTTAAAAAATGTAGTCACTAAATAACTACAAAATTAAATGTGACATAACTTCATCATGATAATTAGAATTTCATGATATTTCTAAAGACAATGGGGAAAAAACATCTACTGGTTTTCTTGTATTTGAAATCTTACTGCATACAGCAAAAATCCTTTCACTATTGAGTACTTACAATGAATATTTTTTAATAGGCCTCTATGTTCTCTTATCTATGTCTTCGAACCTCAGTCTCAGGTTTATAGCATTTAGCAGAAGAAAAGTGTATTTTTTCTTTTGTACTATTTGACTCAACTATATCAAACTGGAGAAAAAATGAAAAACGCAAATGTTCAAAGGCCAAATCAGAAAAAAAAAAAAAAAAGATTGTTCTTTAGTTGTGGTTCTTTTATAAGTGTTGTCTTTAGAAGCCCTGGGTTAACGCTTTGATCATATCAGTGAAGTCACTAAAATTCTTTTTATTTAAGTATATGAGGTATTTAGAAAAAAGTAAATTCAAACAAACCACAAAATAATTCATTTTGCAGGCCTATTACTTTATATTACTTATACATCTTTAGGTTTTCAGTGAGAGTAGAAATGACTTACTAAGCATGCATTTGCTTAATCATTGCCTCCAGTCAGAAAGCGCTTAAATACTAAGAATTTTTTAAATATACAGTTTCTCAATTTATAAAATATTTTCTATTGACAGATAAGGCACAGAAAAATGCAAGTGACATCTGCTAAGCTTTACTTACAAAAACTTAAAAAAATGCTATGGGATAACATCAGTCCATTTTTCCTGCAGTATATCTTATGGAGACTTCCTTAAAAAATCTGGAAGTAATTAGGAACTATTATAGTACCTAAAGAAGTTTACTTGAAAACTAAATCTGCTATTCATCAAAGAGCACAATATGGTAAAAATAATGTAATAAACAAATAAGTACACATAGAGAATAAGCACCTCAACCATATCTAATTATAAAACTTTTTTTTAAAAGCTATGATAAAAGATAGTATCAGACCTCTGATATACTGAAGAATCTGTAAAAGACATTGTACTCCCTAATTAAGCTCTGATTTGATACTAAGTTTTTTACTTTAGTTCATTTCACTTCAAAATGATATGAAACCAATTTTTAAAATGCTACTAATGTCAACTTTAATACAAAAGAAAAGTGAAGAAGAATAAATATATTTGTATCATAAAATTTATATCAGAAAAAAATCTAGAATACAGTAAAAAATGTTTTGGGTATTTGTGGAATGATAAATATATCATAATGATAATATTAACAGCTTCTTCTTAAGACTTAAATACATTTTCCACAAAGATGTAAAATTACAGTGGGGGGTAGACTGGATATACATCCCTTGGAGTTTAAAAGTTTGCCCATATGAACTGAATTATCCTTGACAAGTACCTTCAGACACTTGTAATATGATCTCATGTAAATTTAGACCATATTTTGGGCACAAACTATTAGCAACAGTAAGTTTATTCAGGAGCTCAGATAAGAAAGAAAAGCTAATATCCTTAATAATATGTAGTTGCTAACAGGAAATTTCCAAAATGAAAATGAGAAGCATAAAAACAAAATCCATCTAATGTGTTGTAGCAAAGAAAAACAAAATCCTATAAAAAACCCAATATTGCATTTTCTTTTCCCTTTTTAATACTTAGCTGCCTGATCTCTCAAAAAACTTTTATCTTTCAATAGCTTGTCTAAATTTGGAAAAAGAAAAGCATATTTTATACAAATAAATACATTAAAAATTCCATTTGCAGAATTCTAACTTATTCTAACCAGCATTAAATTACAATATGAATAAGATCTTAGTTTGATTTCTCACTGTGGAAAAAATATATACATAGTATATCAAGATAGTAACTTAAAGCTATTCATTCAGATTTTCAACTATTTTTATTAGTATTAATACTGCTCATGATAATAACATGGAGCTATCAAGACTTACAAAAGGCTGTCTGTAGAGCAAAACAAAAAGTACTCAGAACTCTGCAGCTTTCAAGATTCATCAGGATTACCTACTGCCTTGGCACAAAGATGGCCTAAGGAACTATACTAATTCTACAGGGACTGTGCTTCATTCTATAAGAGATGCATTAAGGGCTGTAGAAGAACTGCTTTGGAGAGAGCTATGCCAAGCAGTCTCCACAGCATCATTAACTGTATTTATTTCTCTTTTCGGAGGTATGCTACTGCTATGTTGCCCTGTTAATGGATGAAAATAGGATGTAAATCATCTTGCATTTAAGTAGTATAGAAAAATGGCACATCATTTTAAGAAACTTTGAAGACATGTCCATTTTTTGGTATGTGTGTCCTTACAACTAAAGACATGATTTTAAACATACATGGAGCAATTAATGATCTACAAAGATAGTTCTAGAAGCTTAATTTCACAGTAAAATGGTAAACTTATCCTCCCAAATAGGAATAAAGGAGGATTATTTGTTTCATTAAAAATATTTAGTGGAAAGCATTATTTCAGTTAAACAGAAAATAACAAAAACAATTGGGAGCTATTTTAAAGAATAAGCATATATTTTTAATTTACTTAAATGAGGTGCATTTAATCAATTACTTGAAATATTTAAAAAACTGAATTATTTTAAAAATTCAACTTAAAAATCAAATCGAGAGGCATGTTTATAATATTGCTTTGCTGCAACACTGAAAGAAAGTGCACTGCATAGAGAGCTTAAATTTCTCACTCTTCCTTTCAATCAATATCTGAGGCAAAGTTTCATCTCTAGGGCCCTTAATGGCAGGAATTCCTGGAGCCAGCAAATGAGTAATGTTAAACCTATGATTAGATGATGAGGCCATCAAAGACACTAGATCTTAATGCTACATTCCTCTTTATTTCTCTGAACAGCAGTGAAACACAGGGCTATAGAAGAAGGAATTCTATGCTATTTTTCCATTAAAGCATTTTACAGAACTGTGCATTATTATGAATCGAAAAGATCCAGATAGTCTCTCGAACTCAGGACTTCAACAGTAGGTGACAACATTTTCAAATGCCCTGCAGATGAGCTCCTCACAGGGATGCTGCTTTCTTTAACCTCTTCCTTATCAATATTGTTCCTGGCTATAATGAGGAACATGGGCCTAACAATTTTCCTAGGAATATATTCTTGAAGAAAGTAAACCTGAAAACTGAAAATCAATTGGTAAGTTTTTCGTTTGTTTTGTTTAGTTTTGCTGATGTTTTAGAGGATCACTCGAATTCATATTGTTGTTTATTTGAGAGTTAGCTACAGCTTTAAGCAAACCTCAGGCCAGTAATTAGGAAGAGCTTAGATATATGTTTCTTTCTACTGGGGAAACTATGAATAAAGGTAATAACTGCTTATTACAAACATACACAAGCTCTTATTTCATTCTGACATTACAGAATATTTAACACTAATATGATAATCAGGATAATCAGGACTACTAGGAGACCTGACAGAGCTGGTGAGAAGAAAGACCAATAGGTTCCTATTTAAGTAATCAGAAAATATATTTACATTTATTTTTGGTTTCTCTGTAATTGTTAAGAAGAAACAATACCCAACAATTATCATTTATCTTTGATTCTGATTATTAAAGATAAACAGCTCAAGTAGATTTTTAGAATTTATACTGACATATACAAATTACACTTAAAAAAAGAGAAAGCAGCAAGGTCTTAAGCTATATCATACACTTTGGGCATGCAATTAAAAAACTTACTTTTCATTATCTCAAATATAACAGAGAAGAAGAAAGAAACAATGTAATTAATAATACATTTAAAAATTATAAATTATGATGTTTATATATGCATTATGTATGTATTTTATATACATATATATGATAGGAAACAATGGAAGAATTGAAAGGGTAGGAGAATAATACTGCTAAAAAGAGTAGAAGAAGGGAGAGGGAGAATAAGTCAATATTTACATGGTAAGATAATCTATATACTAATATAACTCAATGTAAATTACTTTCTCCATCTATGGGATAATAGATGGAAATCTTAAAAATATATAAACATACACTTACATGCACGTACTTTTTATTATTAGTCACAAAAGTCCTCATATATTAATGTAATTGAGTGAATGAGATTTTGTACCTGAGAACAAAGCAGCATAACAAGCTCAACCACAGATGTGCTGGACTTCATACAAACAAGGCCTACAACAAAGAAAGGTTAAAACAAAATGAAATTACAATGGTAGAAATTACCATTCTGAGTTAATTCATTATATAATTTTAATGTATAAAAAAGCTTTCTTTTAAATAGAATTCCTAGGGTAAACTGAATGAAAATGTTCACCTAACATACATTTTTAATAATAATTTAAAACTATTCAGATACACAAGATGATGTGAAAATACTTGACAACTGACTTCATGCTTTGGTTGTTTATTTGGTTCAGGCATTTCTTACATTTAAACAAAATGGGGAAGGTTAGTAAAATCGATGAGCTATGTATAGCTGCTATTACTCCAACGACATTTATTATATGGTTGTTTCCTTGGAGCAAAGAACAATAATCATTGAAGTTCTGCCTAAATTTTGTTCCGAAAGACAAAATTAATTTACAAACAGGTAATTTCCACAGCTTATCAGTTATTAAATAATTTTAAAAATAATAAAAAAGAATGTATGATTAACACATCAATCAATGCTCATAAAATATTGCACTGTTATACTTCCAGTCTCCCCAAATAGATAGCAGAAGAAAAAAAATGGAATGTAATAATGTCTATGTAATAATGGCTACTACTCATTGATCACTTACTATGTGCTGGGCAATATTTAACACATTGGCACAGTGCCTTATGTGCATGGTCTCATTTAATTATCATTATACTCTGTGACACAGTATTATTATTCCCATTCTACAGGTTAAGAACGTATTCTTCCTATAAACAGTTTAAACATTAATTCTTATTATATGTATTGATGAAAAGTTATCAAGATTTTTTCCAATTAAAAGTATGACTGCTGTATAACAATGTATATGATAAGAAAGCAGATCTTAATTGGTAGTTTTTTGAAGTGCCAACATAGAGAATGAGGTAATCAAGTATTAATAAAGCTGCTGAGAGTAAGTTAATTATGATGTTTGGTAATTTAAAAATATTTTCTAAAGTTTTTCACTGCTTTTAAAATTAAAGTAACTTAATAAATATATTTTTTCCTCTTTCAAAAATAACTTCGATGTAACAAGAACATTCATAGTTTTTAGAAATGCTATCATTTTTCTTCCTTTGATGATAAATGTAATTAGTAAAAGCATCATACAGTAAGAAAGGCCATGGTCTTAACATTATTTGTTGCTAAATGGAAAGTCCAAGTGAAACCAGTTATTGTTTCTTAAGGTGATTTCAATAAACAGTCTCAAATGCCTTCTAGACACGAGCATGTATATTTACTGTAGGTAGTGGATAGACACCCTTTTGTGCCCGTTTTGCTAACGACCCTATCTCCTCATTGTACCGACCGACAGAACAAGCTATAAAAACATACTAGTGTTCCATCTCATCAGATCTTTGGGCAGACAGTTAACTAATGAAATAAGAGGCAGATGTGAGAAGCTCATTTAAGAGACAATTGGTGTAATCGATCAGCAATTCTCATGCTCAAGTTCTAGGGAGTCAGAAAGATTAATGGGACATGTATCACCTGTTGGCTACTCAAAGATTTGAATTCTGACAAAGAGAAAACAAGTAAAAGGCCAAATGATCATAATTAAACTCATGTAAATTTAGACAATAAGGCTTTGATATAAAGAATTATTCACATATATTCTGTGTATGAGTTTTTAAATATGTAACAAATTGAAGTAAAATTAGAAAAAACATGAAATTGCATTCATTTCTCAGAAGTCAATTTTTTAAATGAACTTTTAAAAAACACTATGTAACAAGAACATTTATAGTTTTTACAAATACCATCATTCCATCATAAGAAAAATATAAACAAATGCTTCATTAATGCTTTGTTCAAAAGGAATGACAAAAAATTGATACAATAGCAAAATTGCAATTTGCAAACAGTGCTCTCAGTATTTTGTAAAAGGCCATTGTGATTTCAAGTCCATAGAACCTCACACCTTTACTCATGTGTTTTGTCTAATTAGTTTTGGACAGAAGGAACAAATGGATTTTCCCAAAAGCAAAAGAAAAACTAAATGTGACAATGAGAACACAAGCAGAGGCAAATTTGAAAGATCTATCTATCTTCAAAAATTACATAATCACTTTGGTTGGGAGTATTACTAAAAAAAAAAGAGGTAAACTCAATGTTTTACTAGAGATAATGAAAATACAACCACTGAATGATGCTATAAGTAACTCTTAAGCTGTATATGAATAAAACAAACATTTTACAAGTGTATGTCTCAAAAAGTTTGACTGTATCCTTTTTGTATGTCACAAAAAATTCATAATCAAATTAATTCATTTGATATCTCCACTTATGAGCAAAATATAGTGTTAGTACTAAGGAGTTTATAGTAATAAATAAGTTATTATTTATACCTTCCCAAGTGCCCATATTTTAATTCAAATTAAGATTATATAAAATTTATATAGAGCTTTAGAATTTACAGATAACTTACATATATGCTATCTCATTTGAATCTCTTAATAACTGTTTAAACTAGTTATAACTACTTCATTTGATACATAAAAATTGAAGAAATTTGGTGGCTAGCCAAAGGTGTGTCATTCAGTAACTGGTGGAATTGGGACCCAAATTCAAGTCATCCAACTCAAAGCCCATTCTGTTTGCTGCAGAGCTACATAAATAGTTTGGCATTAATAATATGGCAATATATGCTTATGAGACTGGTCATAATGGTCAATTCAAAGTTGAATGATTTTGACAGTTTTCCTGGTCAAAGTAACTTATTGTGGTCAGACATGGGAACAAAAAGCAATAGCTTAAGCGAAAAGCACATACAAAGCAGAGAACAAAGAGAAAATCTGAAAAAAACTTGTATAGCTTGGGGGATGGATGAACAGACTATAAGAGTGTTTAAAAGTGTACTGAAGGGCTAGGGTAAAAATCAAAGATAGATTAAGATTGAAAGAAAGAAAATTATACGGTTTTGAAAGACAAAAGGAAAAATTTAAAGCAAGTTATAAAATGGGAGAAACGATACTAAGCACTATTTATAGCATTCCCATTCTATCATGACAATCTGTGCCTTGTTAAGTAAGAAGTAGCCCCCAAAGGAGCTGTACATATGTGCCTCCCCAGCAAAAATACAGTTAGGAGTATGGGCAAAGTAATAGAATATTTTTGCCAGAAAATATGTATATTTGCTGGAATAAATATTCTAACCAGAATTACTGATTCAGTACTGCAAACCATATAGCTTAGCAGTATAAAATGAACACCTGGAATGTAGACAATAAATGTGTGAGGGCTTAAGAGGAAAGAGGCTTGTATATTTGGGAGATACTTTAACAGTAAGGAAACCGTCCATTAAGAGCTTTTGAATATATTATGAACTACATTGTTGAAAGATGAAGTCAGCTCACTGAGTGGCTAAGATACAAGTACTTGAGAAGATTAATTAGCTGGACAAACTTGAGGTGGTCCAGATCCAGGCAGTAAATAAAACTGATATAGCTGAGTAAACCATTATCCAAAAAAACTGGCAGTTCTTTTGGGTTCACACTGACTAGGGATAGGAAGTCAATTTCTACTTTCAGAATGACACTCCCTCCCCACTAAAAAAACAAGATAAAACAAAACAAAACAAAAAACTGCCACAAATGATAAACCAGATAAGAAATCTCCAAAATGAGTATAAAGTTAGAAGCTTGGCCTTTGGGACAAAGCTATCTTTATTTAATACAAACACTACTAAAAGGTACAATGATATTATTTTAATAAAGAACTGTCAGATACTTTTGAGTCAATCTGTGGGTCTAACTTTTTACATCTGTTGAATTGAATATCAAGTTAAAAGAGCCCTAAAGTTTTAAAATACTGTTGAAAAATTCCATCTCTAGCAGAATGTTCCTCATGGTGGGAGATGAAGAATATCACATGTTCTAGGGACAAGAATTAATGCTCTTATATGGAACTCATCTTTTAAATGTTAAAGTTTTCTTGAAGTAAGGATCCAAGAGAGGAGACTCTGACAGACATCTATGATTGCTTTGAATATATAATCAATAAATATTAATTGAATCAATAAACCTATAAATCATTATCAACTATAGATAAAAATTACATTTTGAGCAATAATAAGAACATCATTTTTTAGAATAAGATCTGAATTCATTCAAAAAACATTTACCAAGCGTATTTCTAATGTGCCTGACACCATGGTAGGTACTAAGTGGGAATGTGGGGCAGATAATGTGAGCAAATAATCATGATAGGGAATCTTAAGGGGTTCATAAAGAATGCAGTGTGAGAAGCACAGGAAGGGTATTAAGCAACTGTGTCTAGGAGAAGAAGTTATGGGGAATGTGACATTTAAGTTGGATAATGCTGAGCCTATCTAAGCAAAAACTGGAAATAAGGGAAGGTCATTCCACGTGACAGAGAAATGTTTGAGGTATAAAGAAGCATGCAATAGTCAGCAAAATGGAGTTGGAATGTTATGTCATAGGGTGTGAAGGATGAAAGGAAGTGACTGGAAATGAAGACAGAGAGGTAGGCAGGAAGTAGAGCCATACACGGCATACTATCCTGTCATCACCAGGGAGAAACGACAGGATTTTAAGCAGGGCGCAGACAGAATTAGCTCTATTTTGGAAAGACCGCTTTCTGTCAGCAGTACGGGAAGAAACCAGTAACTAAAAAGTTTAGTTACACGACTGAAAGCTTGAGCTCAAGATGGTGGCAATGTAAGTAGAGACAGACTTGAAAGGCATTCTGTAATGAGACAAACTATTTTAGACAACTATTTTAACAACCATTTGGGGCACGGTAAAGGAACCATCAGAGTGTGATGATGATACCTTTAACTGAGATAAGGAAAGCAAATAAAGAAGCAAATTTGCAGAAGGAAAAGTGATGAGTTTCAATCTAGACAATATTTCTCCTCACAATAAAAGATACCAATTTATTTTCCATCAAACAGATATGACTATACTTACAATCTGAATTTTAAAAATCAAATATGCCCAGGACTAACTAGTTTTTAGTTAATCTTCTAATG